GCCCTTGTGGGGCTTATATTTAAGTGGGGGAGACAGGCTATCAGTAAGATAAACAAGTTAAACAGATAGCGTGCTCCATACGTGCTAAAGAGAAAACCTTTGTCCAGCTATTTTATTGGGAGTCCACTGTTTTCTGGCATTGTCAGATACACAAAAATTTCTGCCTTCAAAGAGTTTATAATCTAGTACAAAAACCTAACGAATGCCTCCCAGGGAAATGGTACTAATTAAATTCATACAGGAAGCAAAGAGCTCCAGAACTATATGTGCTGTATATATATTGTTCTCTCTTTGATGTTTCCAGGCCTTTCCTATAACCTCCCTCTTCACGCAGGCCAGACATTATGGCTAAAACCAGCATAGCTATTTTGTAAAACATGGAGAAATTATTTATAAATTAATGGACTATGCAATTTACGTTTTATTCTCATGGCTAATTATTTCTATTTTGACCAAACGTGTAGTCTTTGAAAGCCCCAGGGTTCTGAATGCCCATGCTATCATATCAAGATACTTGCTGAGAAATGGAAACTATGGGCATTTCAAATGGTACAGTGGTTTCCAGGTTATAAGTTAAGGACCACGGCATCGGCTGGGAATGAGTCAGCGTGCAGATTCCTGTGTGCTTGCCTACCTACCCAGTCAGAATCCCTGCAGTCTGTCCTTTAACATAGAACATGCCTTAACATGCATTGGCTCTAGTAATTCACAAACACTTGCATTTGCTGGTGGATACTAATCAAGGCAGGTAAAGCAAACACATGATTATCCAAGACGAAGGTGTGCATGTTAGACCCTGATGTACTGTTTTTCACTTTATGGGAATCTGCTTCAGACCATAACCACGGATGAGGCTGCAGACACCCCCACATCTGTGTTATACGTGTGCATGAGGTAGGTATAGTCAGGTGGGGAAAGTCTGCAAGCCAGAGATAAGCTTTTGTTCCTAAGTAAGCAATAAACAGCCACAAGCTTGTCACATTGTGGCAAATGACTGCAGAAGCTACATCCACCCTTACCACTTGGGAAGCTCCCATTGATGCTCCCTGAGTTACCGGGTATTGCTATGTCTCTGGTGCTGCTCCAGGCTCCGAGGCTGAGCTTGTCTTTATGTCCTTCCTGCTTCCTTTTTCCTTCTGGTTCATCTTTCCACTTTTAGTCTGTTTTCCCGAGACCTACTATTATTTTGTTCTTATCGATTTAACGTATGGCATTTATGGAAGAGTTCTGCATTCCTTTTCTTCATTTTAAAAGCAAACAAATGGAGTATTTGTTATCAAGAGGTAAAAACAAAATGAGATTACATGGACTTTAAATTTATGGTGCCCTCTGAGGTCTTGTGAGGGATTTTTTTTCTTTCCCTTCCTCTCTAGCTACAAAAGTCTCTGGGAAAAAGAAAACTGGTAGAGCGATCAGAATATGGCGAGTCATTTCTTTTTATCATACTTTTTGTGAAGTCTGAGCCTGGTGCCTCCTCCTTAGTTACAAAAATGAAGATGTTCATGTTTGGTCTGTGGCAGTGAGGCCCACTTTAGTGTGGAGAACTTTGCAGATTGCCTTCACGGAACAAAGGTACTCTGTTCCCTCCAATCCGTGACAGAGCCTCATGGACTGATAGGGCCTTCTCCTTTCAGGTCACCTACTTTTGATTTATTTTTGTGGGTGTGTTCTCATTGAAGCATAACACGCATACAGAAAGAGGTTCAGGTCATACCTGTGCATCGGCATGAATTTTCACTAAGTGAACATATCCATGTAATCACCACCCAAATCAAGAACCTGGAACATAACGAACATCCAGACACCCCTCCTCTCACTTGTCTTCCCCAGTCATTCCCACCTCCTCCCCAAGGTAAACACAATCTTGAATCCTAAAATCACACACACATTTTGCCTATTTTTGGCTTTATGTAAATGGAATCGTACCATATGCTTTGTTCTGTGTCTAGTGTCTTTTAAGTCAACATTATGTTGGTGAGATTCATCCATGTGTAGCAGGTAGCATTACTTTATTTTCATTGCTGTATTATATTTACATTGTGAGAACATACAGCAACTCATGTATCCATTCTGTGGAACATTTGGAGTGTTTCCAGTTTGGGGATATTACAGATTCTGGTACATGTCCCTTGGTACACATATGTGTGCATCTGGTGAGCATATACCTAGGAGTGGGGTTGCTGTGTCCTACGATATACATACGTTCAACTTTAGCAGAGAATGTGAACTACTTTGTCACAACCAGATTGTGACAAGTAACACATCAGTAGTGAATGAGGGTTCTGGTCGCTTCACATCTTTTCTAGCACTTGATGTAAGTCTTTTTAATTTTAGCCATTCTGGGGAATGTGTACTGGTTCTTCTTTTGGCTTCAGTTTGCATTTTCCTGATAACTGATGATGATAAGCACTAATGTTTATTAGTCTTTTAGGTATCCTTGTTTGTGAAATTCCTTTTCAGATCATTGCTCATTTTTCCTGTTGGGTTGTCTGTCTTGTTGATTTTTAGGAGTTCTGCATTCTGGATAGGAGCCCATTGTTGGGTATGTTTTACATATATTCTTCTCTGTGTCTTTTGAGGAATAGAAGTTCTTACTTTCTGTGGGATTCAATCCTTCCTTTTATGATTCAACTAAAGAAACCTCTGCCTCTATCATAAAGATGTTCTTCATGGTATGGTCCAGAATCTTTAGATCTACACTTAAATATGCAAGCCAGCAGGAATGGATTTGTAGGTAAGGTTGCAGGTGCGGGTTCAAGACTGACTTTCATCTGTGTGTATTCTCTCAGCACCACTAAGATTTGGGTGGTTTTTTTATTTTTGTTTTGTTCATTCGCTTAGCTTTTTAATAAAAAAGTGTTTGTGTTTTAGAATAGTTTTTGCTTGCAGAAAAGTTACAAAGACGGCGCAGAGAGTGCCCGTGTACCCCCCCACCCGTTGTCTGTGGTACGCTGGCCGTAGCTAATGCGTCATTAGTAAGTCCATACTTGATTCAGCTCAGGACCATTGGTTTCTGATGGACGAAGTGCTGCTGGCAAATGCTGTGAGACCACGTCCTGGTAACTGAACTTTCAGTGACCAAGTCCCCTGTGGTAAGAGCCCGTGTCTCTGGTCTCAGCCTACCCTGGAGAACTCAGAGGGCTCACGTGGTGTGGACTCAGGTCCTGTGAGATCCCAGGGGGGGACGTGTGGTAATTCTACCATCGAAGGGCCTCCAGCGTCATAGACCACCTGAACTCTCAGCCCCAGGTTTAAAAATCTTGAGTTTTAATGTGATGAGTAGCCTTTTCCTAGAGTCCTGTAGACTTTAGTTTTGTAATCTTGAACCAAAGTTTAAAACACATCGATGATGAACAGCTTTGGGTTTTTATATTTAGTCACATGCTGTACATCACATCTCCAGGATTCATCTTATATGTGGACGTTTGTACCTTTGACCCTCTTCCCCCATTTCCCCCATCCTCCACCCCCCCCCTACCTGTGGCCACCACCAATCTGTTCTTTGTATCTATGAGCTTGGTTTTTTTTTTTTAGGTGGCACAAATAAGTGAGATTATATAGTATTTGTCTGACTTATTTCAATTAGCATAATGTCCTCAAGGTCCATTTATGGTGTTGCAAATAGCAGAATTTCCTTTTTTTTTTTATGGCTGTATAATATTTCTTTGTATATGTGTATCACATTATCCCTTCATCAGTAGACACTTAGGTTGTTTCCATAGCTTGGCTATTATAAATAATACTGCAATGAACATGGGAGTGTAGATACTTTCAAGTTAATATTTTCACTTTTTCTGGATAAATACCCAAAAGTGGAATTTCTAGATCATATGGCAGTTCTATTTTAAATTTTTTGAGGAGCCTCCATACTGTTTTCCATAGTGGCTGCACCAGCTTGCATTCCCACCAACAGTGCACGGGGGTCCCTTTTCTCCACATCCTTGCCAACACCTGTTATTTCTTGTCTTTTTGATAAGAGCCATTCTAACAGGTGTGAGTGATATTTCATTGTGGTTTAGATTTGCATTTCCCAGATAATTCGTGAGGTTGAGCATCTTTTCACGTACCTGTTAGCCATCTGTAGGTCTTCTTTGGAAAAATGTTTATTCAGATTCTTTGCTCATTTTTTAATCAGATTTTTTTCTATTGAGCTATATGAGTTCTTTATATATTCTGGATAATGTGCCCTTATCGGATGTATGATTTGCAAGTATTTTCTCCTTCACTAGGTTGCCTTTTCATTTTATTGATCGTTTCCTTTGCTGTACAGCTTTTTAATTTGACATAGCCACTTGTTTATTTTTGCTTTTGCTGCCTTTGCTTTTGGTGTCAGATCCAGAAACATCATTGCCAAGATCGATGTCAAGGAGCTTACCCCTGTGATTTCCTCTAGGAGTTTTATGGTTTCGGGTCTTACGTTCAAGTCTTTAATCCATTTTGAGTTGATTTTTGTATATGGTGGAGGGTAGTGGCCCATTTTCATTCCATTGAACAGCTTTTTTAGAGAGTCCATCTTAATGCCAGATGCCACAGGGAAGGAGACGTCAGTGTGCCCCTTTGGCCTTGGGTGTGGGTGTTTGGAGAACTGTATGCTGATCTGGCTCAGACCTAGGGAGCATCACCATGACCCCTAGTTCTGAGGAAGGCAAGGCAGAGAGCCACTGAGATGACCAGACCTTTTATTGCTGGTTCTACTGTTCCTCCGGTGTGCCGGCATGTTTCAAAGCGTCTCTGACAGTCTCAACTGATTTTACCTTTTAACTTAATGTGCAGACTAAGCCACAGTGATCATGTTTCATTTTTACAGCAGACATTTAAATTATAGCAAGAAAACAAGAAAGACTAGCCAGCCAGCCCCATTAATATCTTATGAAACAGTCCCTGTTCTTTCACCTGGCCATAACCCCTGTCCTGGACGACGCTTTGATAGCCGCCGTGTGGACCCCGGGATGCACACGTGCACACCGGGGTCCTTTGCTCTTTGTCATGCCTCTCCTCAGTACCGTGGGCTCCCGACACTCTGCCAGCCCGGTGGTCTTCACCAGTGCCAGAAGTTCCCCGAAAGAGGAGCTCCATCCTGCCACCTCGCAGCTCGCACCTGCCTTCCCTTCCTCCTCCTCCTCCTCCTCCTCCTCGTCCGGCCCTAGGACCTTCTACCCTCGCCAGGGCGCGACCAGCAAGTACCTGATTGGGTGGAAGAAACCCGAAGGAACCATAAACTCCGTGGGATTTATGGACACGAGAAAGTAAGAATTCTTTTGCTTCTCTTGCTTGGGTGGTGTGCTTTTAACATGATGGAGAACAGAAAAGGCTGAGGCAGTTTCCTACCACAGAGGAGGCCGGCTGGGGTTTGGTTGGGAGATTTTCTTTTTTTCTTTTCCTCCTAAGGAAAACTTACCTTAAATTATTTCTCTGCGCTTCATTCCTTAAATAAATTGTGTGGCCCAACATTGATTTGAGAATCTTAGATCTTGTAGGAAGGAGTATGTCTGAAGAACAAACTTCAGAATAATTGACCCTCTGGCACGAAGGTGACACTCTCCCTTTAATGGAAATAATCACAGCCTTCCCATGGAATGTTTAACTTAGGAGCCGCCAGAGGGAGTATTAGAAAGGGACTACCCTGAATATAAAGACCTTTTTGACAAAGTAGTACAGGGGTGGGGGGGGATTCTAAATGATTCATTCAGTTACGTTGTTTGTGTTTGTACAAAAGTTATATTTGGGATTCATAGCCTGTGGTCTTATTAATAAGTCTTGCTAATTTTGGCTTAGTGGAGGTCATGGTTTCCTGTAGAAGAGCAATTTATCCATCAGATTTTTATTTTGTGCTTCCAGTTGGTTGTGTTTCTTTCACAAGCATTTATCCAAGCAGGTTGTCCTTTGCTCTCCTTTAATATGTCCCCCCTGACTTCCAGCCTCAGGGTCCATCGTGGCTTTACATCACCCTTGTCTGCTTGGTTTCTCCCATCTCTTCTCTTCAAGGCGCCATCAGAGTGATGGCAATGAGATAGCCCACACCAGGCTGCGCGCCTCAACCAGGGACCTCCGGGCGTCCCCCAAGCCAGCCTCCAAGTCCACCATCGAGGAGGACCTCAAGAAACTCATCGACCTGGAAAGCCCAACTCCCGAATCCCAGAAGAATTTTAAGGTATAGGACAGAGCTCGGGGCACATGGCCGTTAGGGAGGCCAGGTGGGACGGGGCTGCTCACCGCAGGGGCACCCTCCAGAGGTGTTGGCTCCCAGCTCCTGCCCTCACCCACTCTGCCCTAAGATTGGCTTCCATTGTTCTCCCAGCATGCTGTCCCCACTGCCACACCTCTTAGTCCCTGTCCCTACCACCCTTCCTTTATCTTCTTTAGTGTACCCCACTCTCAGTGCGCAAGCCACATCCTCTCACAGACATGAGCTCAGATGACGTTGCTTCAGAGAACTTGGCAGAGCACCTGTGGCTCCCTCGTCAGACAGAAAGTTTTCTGTAAATGCTTTGGTGCCTTCTGTCCAAAGGGTCCCTTCCCTCCCCTCACCAGTAGCTCCCAGTTCACGTCCTGCCCTGGGTGCCCCACCTCTGCCCCTAACCCCGGCCAGGCAGGCCTGCTGGCTGTGCACCATGTACTTACTGTTCAGTCACTCAGAGAAACGGCTTGATGGACATCCACTCTTTTCACCCCCAACCCCATCCTCCAAAAGCCACCTCTGCAGCTCAGCAAACTAGGTCTACATACTTACCTTCAGAACTTTCTAGATTCTCTTTACTTGGCAAAACCTTCTCTCCACTTCCCTTACAGAATTCCAGACTAGAAATGTCGTCTCTAAAGCCAGCCTCCCTCCCCATCAAGTTCCAAGTGTGTGCTCAGGGTTTATGTTTGTGTGTCAGTGGCCACGTGGAAGGGTTTGTTCTGCCCACCTCAGCTCGGAGGACTCCTGAAGCCTACTTGAGGCTCTCTGCTTTCTTGTCCTCAGAAGTGCCCACCCTCCCAAGGCTCGGAGCTGGCCTTTGTTGAGTGGGGCCCAAAGCTCTGAGCCCAAGGCATTTCTCCGTGCAGTATGTCATGTAGTCCCAGCAGGAGGAAATCCACCCCCAGGAAGGTCAGCACAGCAAACTTGGACATGTTCTGTTGTCCAGGTTCTTAGTTGAATGACTGGTAGTCTGTTGGAAGTGACTAGCGAGTGTAATTTAAGAAGAACTCTGACAATTGATTGAAAAGGTAAGCTAAAGAATTTCCCTAACCACTTGCTGTCCTCAAGCTGGGATCAAAGTACAGGGGGCATGCCCAGCAGGATGAACTGTGTGGCCTTGTCCATTCCTACTCAGGCTTCTCATCACCACTCTGGTGTGTGTGTGCACGCCTACCTCAAGATAGGTCAGACATACCCCCCTAAACTGAAAAATCAGCATTTACAGAAATTAAAAATATACTCCAAAGGCCATTCTGGCATTCTGTTGAGAAATAAAGATTTATTAACATAAACATTAACATCATAAATCATTTTAAAGACTTGCCATTCTTGATTCTGTCATTTCTGTTTTATAAGCCAGCACTTAACAGTTCTGACTCATCACGCAGGGTACAAATGGTTTCCTTAGCAACCTCACAAAAGATAGTGCTTGAAACTTCTTTAGCTGTCAGGCCCCAAAGAGGTGTATTAAAATGTTTAAGTACCAGTTTCAAAATAAAAATTTTTTCAGATCTTTCCTTTGAGGTTAGAGGAGAATAAAACTTGCCCTGAGAGGAATCTTTCCTCCAGTTCTCAGTTTAACATTTTTGGAAAGGGACGAACTCAGAGCTTTCATTCGTTTGATTTACTCCTGCCATGGAAATAATTGAAAGCAAATGTCTGTTTTGCCCTTATTCCTGTTCTTGGCTTTTATTTCCAAAATGAATTATTTTAACATTGCTGGTTGAAACAGGGGTGCACTTTGTCATGACTGCATTACCGAGACCCTCTGCAAAGAAGACGCTCTGCTGGCTACTCTATTACTGGGAAGGGCTGGAAATAAGGCTGTTTTTTCCTCCAGTGTCATCCTTTTCGGTTTGGTTTCAGATGACTTTAGCTAACTATCTCCGTGTGTCTTCCGAGATTCTCCGTCAGAATGCCCATGGCTCTGCTGTGTCAGGAAGGCCTTGTGTTGAGAAGTCTTCCAGGCCATGCCTGGCTCAAGGCCCCGAGCCACTGCATCAGGTGTCAGGGTCCCAGCGGTGGCCATCTTTGGGCCGTGATACTTGGAACCTACTCGGACCACATTGGCTTTCTTGGATAGCAAGTGCTTCTTGTGAGTGATCGTTAATATCAAATGACAGGGTCACTCCCAGGCTGATTTGCCAGCAGAGTGCGATGTCTGCGGCAGGACGTGGCAGGCTGTAGCTCGGAGGTAGGGGCCTGCAGGGCCTAAGCAGCCCATGCAGAGCTCCTGCCTCAAGGAAAATGGCAGAGCTCAAACATTCTAAGAAACCTCATTGGCAGGCAGAGCTGAGATCACCTTATCTTCCCCAAGGGCTGCGTCCAGCGGCAAGTGAACAGACACAGTGCAAACCCGTAGTCCCGATTTGCAGCCAGACTCTCAGGCGTAGACCACAGGAAGAGGCTTCGTGCAGCATCAGTGTTCGGGAAGAGCTGGTGCTTGCGTACTGCAGATGCAGGTGACCCCTCACACAGAAGCCAGAAGGACCGGAAAGAGTGAGAGAACAGGAGCTGGACCTGGAGCAAGATGCTACTCCTCTAGGCCTTGTTCCTCAGCTTTGAAATAGATCCATGGTGCCCAGATGATTTTAAAGTTCAAGAAACCACCCCCCCAGCTTTTTAAAATAAAATTATACACAGAAGTCTAATATGGAGAACTGAGAAAATGGAGTTTCTCTGATGGGAGGGGTGGGTGTCATGGGCGCCTGAGTCCCACCTGAACATCTCTTCTCCCCAGGCAGTGATGCTGTGAGGAACCCGTATGGTCCCCTGGAGCAATCTGTGAACCCCCCCAGCCTGATGTGCTCTCAGATCCCTTGCGAGTCAGCATTGACTCCGTGATAGTTCTTTCCCAGGGCTGGCAGCACTGGGCACCGCCCAGCAAGCACCCTGCAAGGCAGCCCAGGGCGCTCTTGGAACCAGATCGGTGTGCACGAACCTTCAAGACTGGAGGGCAAGAGAGTTGGGGTGAGGGGCCACCCCAGTGTGTTGGGACAAGACGACTTTTTAATTGGCGGAAAGCATCAAGGCAGATTGCTGCCTTCCGTCTCCTACCCTGCCTCCCTTTAGTGGAAGATGTTACAGCTTTTAAGAAAGCATGCCCCTCCAAGGATCTCTTCAAGGTGGAAGTTCACTACCTTGAAGTATGTTAATATTTCCCAGAGAGGCTGAAACTAGAATTGGTGGAAAACCTCCTTCCTGTATAACCATCAGGGTGGGGATATTCACTAGAAAAGGAAATCCCTTTGTTGAGCCCAGAGGTGCTAAAAAAGATTGGGGGCAGTGTTTGAATGGAGAGATCTGGGGCCTGGCCTGGTAGGCAAGGGCCTTACATGATAGTGCTAGAAGCTTGCAGATGGGAGAGAGAGGACCTGGCTATATTCTTTTAAAATTATCAGCAAGCCATTTAATCTCTGTAATGCCCACAAAAGGGAAATCACCATTTCCATACCTAGTTCCCTGACCTTAAAGACTCACAGAGCATTTATCACAGCAGCTTCGTTTTCTAGGCAAGCATATATGTACCTTGCTCCTAACTCATCATCATCAATTTTTAGAAGTGAGCACAATTTTTACACAGTCGGTTACACCTGGGGCTCATTTACATTGCATTTGATTAATCATTTGTTCATATTTATGCAGCAACTGTGCACACCACTTCGTGGGTAGCTTTGACTTGATTAACCCTTGGTTTGATGAACGGAAGCCTGTGAGACCCAGAGCACATGAGTGAACCTGAGTGTCAGCTCTATTCTCGGTGTCCTAAATGGAGACGCAGCTGTGTCATTCTCTCTGCCCCTTCAAAGTGTCCCAGAAAGTCCTACAGAGGCCTTCTGGCAGCTGTGACTCAACCCTCCTACTCACACCCTCACCTGTCCTCCACATTGTTCTCCCTGTCAAGGTGAACACTAGTCTAGGAAGGACTGAATAAATATAGCTTTGTTGCTAACAGACCAAATATTCTGTTGGCTCTGAGGCTGGATATTTAAATATTGTTAATGTGTCTGTTGTTTCTCAATGAACGGGATTCTCAAAAGCTTGCTTTTTGCAGAAGAACCTCAACTAAAATCAAATCTGGTGACAAAAGCAAAAGACGAGAGAGAACAGCTATCTGGGACTTCTGCCATTTATATATAAATATATAGGTGGCTTCCCTATTTTAGTGAATAGAAATCCGTCCTAAAAAAACAATCTCTAAAACTCATTACATACACTATTAGTAGTTGATGTGTATCAAGAGGCACCCCCCCTTCCTACTAGAGCTACTCTGTCATGATGATATATGCTATCATATAAATACTTGTCTGCATGCTGTTGTTCAGTTCCAGGCGCTTTCCTCTCCTCAGTCCCCGTTTCCTACCACCCCTACTGCAAGACGGGCCCTGCACCGAACGCTGTCGGATGAGAGCATCTACAGCGGCCAGAGGGAGCACTTCTTCGCCTCCAGGGCTTCGCTTCTGGACCAAGCCCTGCCCAATGACGTCCTCTTCAGCAGCACGTACCCTTCCCTGCCCAAGTCTCTCCCGTTGCGGAGGCCTTCCTACACCTTGGGAATGAAGTCGCTGCATGGTAAGTGGGGCTTGCTTGCTCAGCTTTGGGGCTCCCCAGCCTCCCTGGGTCAGCCTCGCACCTGTAATCCCAGACCACAGAGTACAGACGCTCGGCCTCACCAGACCCTAAAAGTCATCTGGGATGCCTGTTCTGGTTTTGGTTATAACTTAAGACATTGTATTAATTTCAGCCGTACAACATGATTCGATGTTTGTATATATTGTGAAATGGTCACCACAGTGAGTCTAGTTAATATCTGTCACCTTGCATAGTTGCAAAGTTTGTTTTTTTTCTTGTGATTAGAACTTCTAAGATGCCTTCTTAGCAACTTCCACAAATGCAGTAATTAGCTGTAGTCACCATGCTGTAAATCCCCATGACTTACTTGTCTTTCTCTAATTTATTTCAGTCAGCATAGTGTCCTCAAAGTCCATCTGTGTTGTTGCAAATGAGATTTCATTTTTTAAGGCTGAGTAATATCCTTGTGTGTGTGTATCATTCATCCATTAGTGGACACTTAGGTTGTCTCCATGTCTTGGCTGTTATAAATAATGGCGCAGTAAACTTGGGTACATGTATTTTTTTCAAGTTAGTGTTTTCATGTTCTTCGGATAAATATCCAGAGTGGAATTTCTGAATCTTACGGTAGCTCTGCTTTTGAAGAACCTCTGTACTGTTGTCCACAGTGGCTGCACCGATTTACATTCCCATTAACAGTGCACAAGGGCTCCCTTTTCTCCACACCCTGGCCAACACTTGTATCTTCCCTTTTTGATAATAGATATTCTAACAAGTGTGAAGTGGTATCTCATTGTGGTTTGGGATTTTGCATTTCCCTAATCATTAATGATGTTGAGCATCTATTCATTTATATCTTGGCCATCTATATGTTGTCTTTGGAAAAATGTCTATTTGGATTCTTGCCTTTTTTTTTTTTTAATTTTATTATGTTAGTCACCATACAATACATCATTAGTTTTTGATGTAGTGATCCACGATCCATGGTTTTCGTATAACACCCAGTGCTCCATGCAGTACGTGCCCTCCTTAATACCCATCACCTGGCTAACCAATCCCCCCTCCCCCCTCTCCTCTAAAACCCTGTTTGTTTCTCAGGTCCATAGTGTCTCATGGTTCATCTCTCCCTCCAATTCCCCCCTCCATTTTTCCCTTCCTTCTCCTAATGTCCTCCATGTTATTCCTTATGTTCCACAAATAAGTGAAACCATATGATAATTGACTTTCTCTGCTTGACTTGTTTCACTTAGCACAATCTCCTCCAGTCCCGTCCATGTTGATGTAAAAGTTGGGTATTCATCCTTTCTGATGGCTAATATTCCATTGTATATATGGACCACATCTTCTTTATCCATTCATCTGTTGAAGGGCATCTTGTCTCTTTCCACAGTTTGGCTATTGCGGACATTGCTGCTATGAACATTGGGGTGCATATTCTTGCCCATTTTCTAATCAGTTTGTTTTTTGGCTATTGAGTTGTAGGAATTCTTCATATATTATGAATATTACCCCTTATCAGATCAGATTTGCAAATATTTTCTCCCAGTCCATAGGTTGCCTTTTCATTGTTAATGGTTTTCTTGCTGAGCAGAAATTTTTTAGTGTGTGTGTAGTCTACTTGTGTATTTTTGCCTTTGTTACCTTTGCTTTTGGTGTCAAATCCAAAAAATCATCATCAAAACTGATGTCAGGGAGCTTACTGCCTGTGTTTTCTTCTGGAAGTTTGGTTTCAGATCTTACAATCAAGTCTTACCCATAATGAGTTAACTTTTGCGGTTTGGTGTAAGATAGTGCTCTGGTTTCATTCTTTTGCATGTGGCTGTCCCATTTTCCCCACACTGTTTGTTAAAGACCATCCTTTCCCTATTGTATATTCTTGGCTCCTTTGTCATAAATTAATTGACCACATATGCATATGTTTATGCATATGCATAAGGCTCTCTGTTCTGCTCCATTAATGTGTCTGTTTTGAGGCTAATACCATACTGTTTTGATTACTATAGCTTTGTAATATAGTTTGAAATCAGGAGCGTGATACCTCCAGCTTTGTTTTTTTCCAAGATAGCTTTGGCTATTAAGAGTCTTTTGTAATTACAGATAATTTTAGGATTGCTTGTTCTACTTCTGTGAAGAATGTCATTAAAATTTTGATAGGGATTGCACTGAATCTGTAGATTGCTTTGTGTAGTATGGACATTTTAACAATATTTTTTTATGAGCATGGAATATCTTTCCACTTATTTGTGTCTTCAGTGTCTTTTATCAGTATCTTACAGTTTACAGTGTACAGGTCTTTTACTTCCTTGGTTGAAGTTACTCCTAGGTATTTTATTCCTTTTGATACAATTGTGAGTAGGATTGTTAATTTCTCTTTCTTATATTTTGTTATTAGTGTATAGAAATGCAACAGATTTGTGTGAATTGATTTGGTATCCTACAACTTTACTCCATTCCTTTGTTAATTCTTAGAGTTTTTGGTGGAGTCTTTAGGATTCATAATATCATGCCATCTGCAAATAGTGAGTTTCACATCATATTTGGATGCCTTTTATTTCTTTTATTTCTTATCTAATGCCCTGAGTAGGACTTCTAATACTCTGTTGAATAAAAGTGGTGTAAGAGTTCACATCTTTGTCTTGTTCCTGATCTTAGAGGAGAAGCTTTCAGCTTTCATCATGGAGTATGTCAGCTATGAGCTTGTCATACATGGCCTGTATTATGTTAAAGTATATCCCCTCTATACCTACTTTTTTGATTTTTTTAATCATAAATAGATGTTGATTTTTGTCAAATGCTTTTTCTTCATCTACTGAGATGATTATATGATTTTTATCCTTCATTTCATCAATGTGGTATATCACATTGATTTGTGGATGTTGAACCATCCTTACATCCCTGAGACAAATCCCACTTGATCATAGTATATGGTCCTTTTTAATGTATTGTTGAATTCGGTCTACTAATATTTTGTTGAGGATTTTTGCATATAGATGCAATAATATATCCTTCATCGAGGATATTGGCCTGTGATTTTTTTTTTCTTGTGGTGTCCCTGTCTAGTTTTGGTATCCGGGTGGGTAATGCTAGCCTCATAAAATGAGTTTGGAAGGGTTCCTTTTGCTGCTGCTGCTGCTGCTTTTTTTTTGGAAGAATTTTAAAAAGGTTAATTCTTTGAATGTTCGGTAGAATTCAAAAGTAAAGTCCTCTTTTGTTTGCATCAGTAATCACAGACCTTCCAACCATCTCTTTTTTTTTTTTTTTTTAATGATTTTATTTATTTATTTGACAGAGACACAGCGAGAGAGGGAACACAAGCAGGGGGAGTGGGAGAGGGAGAAGCAGGCTCCCAAGGAGCAGGGAGCCCGATGCAGGACTCGATCCCAGGACCCTGGGATCATGACCTGAGCCGAAGGCAGACGCTTAACCGACTGAGCCACCCAGGCGCCCCCGTTCCAACTATCTCCTTACTAGTAATCAGTCTGTTGAGGTTTTCGGTGTCTTCATGATTCTGTTTCAATGACTTAGCACAGCAGGTGGCATGTTAGTCTCATAATCATGATTCACTTTTGGCAAGTTGTATGTTTATAGGGTTTATGCATTTCTTCTTATGCACAATTTATTGGCGTATAATTCTTCACTGTAGTCTCTTAAGATCCTCTGTATTTCTCAGGTATCAGTTATTGTGTCTGCTCTTTCATTTCTGATTTTCTCTCTTTTTTTCTTGGTGAGTCTAGCTAAAGCTTTGTCAATTTTATTTATCTTTTCAAAGAACCATTTCTTAGTTTCATTGATCTCTATTTTGTGTGTTGTGTTTTGTTTTAGCTTCTGTTTTATTTCCACTCTGATCTGTTATTTCCTTTCTTCCACTAACTTTGGGCTTTATTTGTTGTTCTTCTCCTAGGTCCTTCAGGTGTAAAGTTAGGTTGCTTATTTGAGATGTTTCTTGATATGTAGGCATTTGTCACTATGAACTTCCCTCTTGAAACTGCTTTTCCTGCATCCCATAAGCTTTGGTATGTTGTATTTCCATTTTCATTCTTCTGAAAGTATTTCTTGATTTCTCTTGTGATATCTTCTTTGACCCATTGCTTGTTCAGTAGCGTGTCATTTAGTCTCCACATATTTGTGAATTTTCCTGTTTTCTTCTTGTAATTGATCTCTAGTTTCATAGCATTATAGTGAGAAAAAATTTTGATTTCATTTCAGTCATGTTAAATATATTAAGACTTGTGACCTAACATATGATCCATCCTGGAGAATGTTCTGTGTGACTGAAAAGAATGTATATTCTTTTGTTTTGGGATGGAATATTTTGTAGAAGCTGTTAAGTCCATCTGGCCTAGTGTGTCATTTAAGGTTGATGTTCCCTAATTGACTTGTCTAGATGATCTGTCCATTGATGAAAGTGGGTTATCAAAGTCCCCTACTATTACCATATTGCTATTTCTCCTTTTTAGGTCTGTTTACATTTACTTCACATATTTAGGTGCTCCAGTGTTGGGTACATAAATACAAATGCTATATCCTCTTACTGGATTGGCCCCTTTATCATTGTGTAATGCCTTTTTTGGTCTTTATTATAGTCCTTGTTTTAGAGTCTTTTTTGTCTAATATAACTACACCAGCTTTCTTTTGGTTTCCATTTCCATGGAATATCTTTTTTCATTCCTTCACTTTCAGTCTGTGGATGTCCTTAGTTCTCAAGTGACTCTCTTAGAGGCAGCGTATAGATGGGTCATGTTTTTTTACCCATTTAATTGGAGAAGATAGTCCATTTATATTTAAAATAATCAATGATAGGCATATACCTTTTGCTGTTTTGTAGTTCCTCTGTGTTCCTTTCTTGTCCTGCTTTCTTCCTTCATGGTTTAATAACTTTCTGTAGTGGTAGGCTTAGATTCCTTTCCCTTTATCCTCTGTGTATCTAAGGTTTTTGCTTTGTGGTTACCATGAGGCTTTCATATAACTTATATTTATAACCATTTACTTCCAGTGCATAA